TATTCAGCAAATTATTCGAGGACGATGAGACATTCAACATTGGAAACTTGAGTGCCACGGCCCTGCACCTCCCAGGTCATACTCCGGACCACCTTGGGTACAAGATCGGAGGTGAGTGTTGTCCCACATTAAACCATGCGATCATATTTTTTCTACTACGCATTCATCTAACTAACGTTTATGGATTCAAGATAATGTATTCTGCGGCGACTCCATCTTCCACGCAGACATAGGCACCGCACGCTGCGACTTTCCCGGCGGCAGCGCCAGGGATCTCTTCCAATCGGGCCGGAGGCTGCTCTCCTTACCAGACCACGTCAAGATCTGGACCGGCCACGACTATCCGCCCGCGGGGCGCGATGCTCCCGTGCCTTGGATGACGGTCGAGCAGCACCGGCAGCGCAACAAGCACTTGAAGGACGGCACCACCGAGGAGGACTTTGTGGCCATGCGGAACGAACGGGACGCGGGGCTGGCGGCGCCCAGGCTGATACACCAGTCCCTGCAGATGAATATCCGTGCTGGCAACCTTCCCAAGCCGACGGATGCTGGACTGCGATTGTTGCACCTCCCGCTGAAGCCCAAGAGCGTGGAGTGGTAGTGGTGATTATGACGGGCTGGCGTATGCGAACTCTGAGTTTCCTTTTCGATTTAGCATTAATCCTGTACCTGTATTTGCGGTCGCGGTGGAAGTGAGGTTTAGAGCCGAAGGATCAGCACCTAGTGATTTCAACAGTCCTGAATTCACTTCCCTCCGTGGCCATGACTTTCGCATACTTGATTAAATTCCAGTTCTGGGTCGGTATTATTACCCACACGTATTCTCATACGTGACAACCCCCCTGTCATCCTCGACAGCAGACAAGACTGCTATCATTAATTCGACTAGTGCGTAAATGGCAGACAAAGCGGTCTTGGCTTCTGATGCTCAAATTCCGAACATCCGCGAGAAGTCGCCTAAAATTCTGTTTTCCCACATCCAAGGGCAGGCTTACAGGTGCGGGCCTACAAGAAATGAATTCTGTAGTAGAAAACCCCATGCAGCGATGTGGAGTTAGGTACTATTGACGCGGACACTCACTTACCTTTTTTACATGGGTGAGTCCGAACATCAAAACTTGCTCATTTCTTATCTATCAGTACATGGACGCCGCAAAAAGTGGGTGTGGTGTGGTGTGGCTGCGCGACAATGTCCCACGTACGCGGATAAATTGGGGGAGTGACGTACGATACAGGGAGGGGCAAGGACTGGTACAGGTACAAGCACAAGTACCCGTACAGAGTGAATGGTGGCCTTGATCAATACCATAACAGCAGTGATGTTTTAATCCCCGAGTCTCCACCAGAAAAGTCGATGTGCTCGTAACTCGCACGTACCTAGTCGCGCTGGTCCCCGAATGAGTTGCAACCTCCGTTACGGCTGTCCGGAGCAAGGGCGTTGTGTTGTTTCAGGCTTCCTCGACGGGTCCCCGAACAAGAGCCAGAGCAAGCTCTTGCCCCAAAAGGGTACGAGGTACCGAGCCCTCGTGAACGTGCTCGTAGACCCGGATGACCGGAACAAAAGTCGCTGCCTCGTTGAATTTTCGTGCTCGCTGGCGGAAATACTTCCGTCGGTAAATTCTGGTCGGAAAGGTCCGCTTTGTCCCAGCAAGTAAAGTAAGTCACTTTGATGATGTTTTGCGAAAAATCAAAATGATAGAATGAGATCAAGTTCAGCGAGATATACGACAACGAGGCTACACGATCTGATATCACCAACCGTCTATTCATATAGTACTATTCTGCGTATTCCTGCATTGAATACCCCGTATTCCAGTTCAAGTTTCGAAATGCGGCAAGACCATTGGCCAGACCGCCGTCGTTAGAGCCGCTAGTGTTCGTTAGCGCGGATCACGCCATATTTGGGACTGGGAATTGGCTGATCACCCCTTTCTGCGTGGAGCCTTGTTTGGTCTTCCAAATTGTCCGTGAACACATGTTGCTGCTGATGCGAGTGCGGGAATATGGTATGGCTGGTTCATCTGCGTACATGGTGTCGATGCTTGTTAGTAAATACCTGTGAGATAGACTACTGGAAGCAAGATCTCAATGTATCCCGGGAATATTTGTCTTGGGACGCTATTCAGTAGACAAAGGCTAACGATAAGATCAAATGAGCGCAATGCTGAATTCTGATTCTGATGCAAAACGAGAGACGTAAGTGTCTTCCACCTCCCACTGTCTATCCTTTCTATTACTCCCCATCTGGTGCTCGTCTCGTCACATACATATAACAAATACCGCTCCATTAGATAGCTAGCACGCTCCTCATCTTACATCCCATTCCAAACGTGACCCATCAACCGATTCGCCACATCCCTGACATAACCGCCCGTTGCGCCCATTCCGTTGTTGAGGTCGTTGACGTCGACTCTGCCCGAGTTATACTCCCGTAGCGCTGCGTACCAGTTCCCTTGATGCTGGAAGCACTGCTTCAATCCATCGCCGGACTTGGTCCCCTCGGTTCCGTCTCGAACCATCTGCAAGATGCTCTGCGCGGCCTGTTGAGGGTTGAACTCGGCGCCGTTGTGAGATTGCATGATCCCCGGGTTGCGGACAGTTCCATCTGGCGATACGGTGGTGTGGACGCGCACGTTCCCACCAGATTCTTGCATGATGGTGCAAAGAATCACGCGGACATCGACCTGGGATTCACGGGCGACCGTTTCGATGGCGGTTTTGATGTTGGCAATCTCAGAGTCGGAGTCGTTGTACTTCATCAGCTTGGAGTTGCTGCTCCAGAGTGCAGGGTATGATGCCCACTGCGAAGTTGGAGGAAACTTGGAGGCAGGTCCACTGTAGTTGACATAGGCACCGCCTCCCTGCCCGCCACCGCTGCCTCCTGGGAGTGCTGCGAAGACCTCCTGGGCGATCAGTTCCCTGTCTCCCTCGGGAAGGCTGGGACCTTTAATGACCTCGTTGATGGAGATTTCAGTAGAGATGCCAGGATTTTCAGATTGAAGTTCGTTGAGAGAGACACCAAGGACATGGGCGACATCGTTGAGGCTGAACAGGAGTTCCAATGTCTTGGTTGGTAAGTTGATGTCTTGTCCGACCTCGAGGTGATCGGCGTCGACGCCTGGATTGGCAGCGAGCACGGCGTGGAGGTCGAGCTCTTGGTCGGAGGCGATGGCACTGAAAGTGTCACCTTTTTGGATCTTGTAGGATCCGATCAAGGTGCCAGCTACCTTGTAGTTTCTCTGGCTCTTGATTAGCGGTGCTTCGGTTGCCATTTTATTGTTGCTGAGAGGGTTGTCCGGGGTTATCATGAAGCTATGTCTTGAGCGAAGTCTGATGGATGAGGAATTGAGAATGCGAGAGAATCAGACCAGATATATATAATTACGTGAAAACGTGTGAGGACGGATATCTCTTACCATAATCGCCTGTTGTCCTGCTTCAGCCGCACATGTGACCAAGCAAGAATCTCCCTTGACCAGAGATTCCAGTCCTGTGATGTGCCATCCTCACCGGTCATTGCGGGTAGCCCGACCAGGTCTAATGGGAAAGGCAGCCGAATTGATGCAGGCTCTGTTTTTGGAATGCATTGTCCATTACCCTTTCAGTGACGATGAGCTCCCTCCAGTTTGACAGGCTATGTAAGTTGATAGTGTACTAGTCAGCTTGGAGTCAGGAATTGGACCTTTTCGGCGCTTGTGTGCAGGGTTTCATGTGAGAAGGAACGGTGGCATACCCTGTGGTGGGTTTTCTGTAAGGGGAAGACGGATGAATGCACACCGGTCTAGGGTCACAGCTCCGCGCCTGGATCACGCATCCTTGAGCGCCGAGACAAACATCAGCCTTGCGCGTAAGCGTGAGCCATGAACGACACTCAAAGCGTTGGTTGTCAAAGTCGAAATGTTTGCCAACGACAAGGCTTTATCTCAGCCTTGGAGCTAAACCTGTTTTGGCAACCTTCTCGAAGCCGTTTCTGTTCCATCAAATACGTCATCGAGATTCAGCTGCAACGCACCGCCGCGACTGACCGCAATTCCTCTCATCCTGTCCACTGAGTCCCTCACACAAGGTCGGTCAGGTCCTGTCAGTTGCCGAGTATCTGTCCTCCCAACGCCTCATTGATCGCGTGGCAGTCTGATCTGGGGATGACACTCGACCATGTGGCACCCAGTCATGGAGATACCACGGTGCTACAAGACCCGAATCGCTGTCCCACGGGCGTCGAGGGACTTTTGCTTGTCTGCATCATCCTCTTGATTGACTACAACTGAAATTATCACAGGCGTCAGGTTCGAATTGCCCTTGTGTAGAATAAAGGCGAGATGAAAGGGTGCGGTGAAAGACCCTGCTTCCAGCCTTGTACACCCTGCATCTCCGAGCTTCTCACCGACATCCAAGCGGTGCAGCAGGTGAATCAAGCTCAGCCTACATGGCTTTTATTCAGCTTGTTCCACAAGGTCCACAAGCACCGGTTAGCACAGCATAAGGCCCTTAGGGTTGTAAAGGCAACGTGTTTGCTGCAGAGAATCACCACCTCGCATCGATTTTCTGTCCGCAATACTAACGACGGACGACCCCAGCGAGAACGATGGGATCGATAGCCTGCTTGATGCATGAATAATACCCACGCCCCGGCCACTAAACCACGAATCAGAGAAATGCAGCGCACGGAAACTCTCGACTTGACGAGGACATCGCTTTAGCTGCTGCTGCATACCTGCCCCTCTGATTTGAATCTGACCAGTAGCTCATATATTCAATAGGAATTTGTTTTTAGTTATCAGACATTATTCTATACCTACCACAAGCTGATCTGAACGCAAGACACCAGTGTCCATCGACTTTGCCATGCAGGACGGCCGACGGCAAGTTGATGGAGGCAGCTTAGGGGTTCCGCATCATCAAGCCTGGCACTAAAGTTCAAGAGGTGATAGTATGGAAGAATGACCTTGACTTGACTACCGTCTCATTGCTTCGCACCTCTAGGTCATTAAGCATTTCAATCACGATTTTCTTTTACCACCTGTCCTTCCCTTGAAACTTCCCTCGAAGCCTGGCCTCCTGACTTTGGTTTTCTTCTGACCCTTTTCATCCTTCCTCTTGGCCAAATTCTCGACCCTCTTCTTCTGCTTCGCGTCTTGTGCCTTTTTCACTCCTTCCAACCGATCATTCCACTCCCTCTCACTCTTCTTCTTCTGGCCCTGTTGCCTTTTGAGTGCTTTCTTGAGCAGAGACGTGTTGTCCCGCACGTGTTCGCCGTGGGCACGCCGTTTAGCATTCAACCACATATCCTTTTGCTCAATTTCAAGTCGTTTCTGCTCATCCAGACCCGCCAAGCGAGCCTTTTTCGCTTCGGCGAGTTTCAGCTCCGTGGCAGTGTCACGGACGCCTTTCTTTTTGTGTTCCTCCACAACAGCTGTTGAAGAGGGCTCCAAATGGGTGCCATCCTCGAAAGTGATGCGGCCGAACGTAAAGTTGTTGGCGGAATTCGAGTTTGGAGATGAGCCACCGTTGTCCCCGATCATGGGAGACCGAGGTGACGCAAGCAGGGAGCCCGAACCACCCGGCGAGAAGTGCCTGGCAATCTCCTCATCTTGACGGCGAGCTTCTTCCTCCTTTTCTCGACGTTTTTGTTCTTTCTTAGCTGCCTTCTTGGCCTCTTCCTTCCGGCGTCGTTGTTCCAACAGCTCTTGTCGGTTCTTTGGTGGGCGACCATCGCCACCATCGGCCTTACGCTCTGCGCGAAATTGAGAAAGTGCTTCTTGTAGCCGTTCTCGGGGTGTTTTGGTTGTTGTGTCGTCGTCGTGGTTGTTGATCGCCTGCGCACTTGCTGGTGGTAGGGAACTCGAATGTACATGTTTGACAGTCTCGTCGATGGATGCGGGTTGGATGGACGACGTTGAAGACGTGCCGGACTCATGCTGTGGGGAGAAGACCTCCTCTGGCTCCTCCTCGGAAGACGCTGTGGATGGTGATTCTGCATCAGGAGAGCTCTTTCGCTGAGTGCTCACTTGAAGATCAACCGGGATCTGGAGATTTAGTTCCTTCTTCACTTCTTTCCTGAGTGCTTCCTTCTGAGGGTCATGAGGTTGTTGCGCTTCCTTCTTCTTGGCCTTTTGTCGTTCCAGCTTCTGCCTGGCCTTGTCCTTTTTTTCTCTTTTCCTTTGTCTTTTCGCGGCCCTTTCCTCCGCTTTCCTGCGTCGTTTGTCTTCTTGTGACTCGTCGACACCTTCGGGTTTGGTGGTTCCTTCTACATCTTTACCATCGGTCTTTTGTTTTTTCGGTTTTGGCGCTTGTGCGTCTTGAACAGCCTTTGGCGGTTCCACCTGGCCACCGTCGACCAAGTTTGAGTTTTCGTCAGACTCGTCCTCTTCATCGTCTCGTTTCCGCTTCATAGCTGCGGCTGCTGCCCTCTCATCGACTATGTCCTTTGCGCTTTTCCAATTATCCGGGTCGAGTTTAGCCATTTTTGCGGCCCGCTTCTGCTCCGGAGTCTGCTTTTTTCTTTTCCATTGATCCTGGCTGGAGTGTGAGAGTGTATTTTTGAGTGTAAGACATTCTTCATAGTACGTACGCTGACATCCTCTCCGTAGTAGAGTTTCGCAGGAATAAGGGACAGTAGACTGTCAAAGGACCGTGCGTGGCTCTTGAGCCGCTCCTACAACGAGATCAGTCAAATTTCCATCAGTGGCGCAGGCGGTGAAGCATACCGCCAATTCGTCGGCCATGATAAGTCGCAGACCCCGAATAATCCCAATCCTCTTCACGGTTCCCTCACAAGCCTCTGCCTCCTCGAGGGCTGTATGTTTGATTTGCCAAAGGGCTAAAGATTCTGCGCAACTCCGAAGTCCAACAACTCGACGGGCGGAAGCCAGAAACTACGAACCGCAGGCAAAGTGAAATCTTGGCAGCACAACCAATAATTAATGGTTGAATTGCCCTCGAGTGCTTGGCACGCCCACCGAGACGGCGCCGCTTTTAAGGCGACATTACTCGCGAATACTCACTTTTTCCTCGCTTTCACCCTTGCAGCAACTATGTCCCGTCCCAAGATTCCATTATTGGCGACGGCTAGGAAGATCCCAACTTTGGATCCTTACGAAGGGGTCTTGACTTTCAGAGAACTCAGTTGCTGCCACAGATCCACTGTGCCACTCATGTAGCGTTTCTTCATCATCATTCGCTCAACCTTCTCTTTGCGGCTTAAGGCTTTGTTAGATACTCGGAGCTCAAGTGCGACTTTTACATTGGCTCATCCTTTTTACTGACCCTCTTTTTATGTAGCACTCAGTATTGAAAGATACATGGCTCGAGTCTAACAGGGCGGTCCTGTGACTTATTTCAAACTAGCGTGGCCCTCGAATCGGATGCCATCTCTCCAAATCTCTCGGATTTTCAGCAGGTCGGAGATTTCTCACACGGGGTTGCCTTCAACGAGGAGCAAGTCGGCCTTTGGACCCGGCGCAATCCTGCCTCAGTCAGACCAGGAAAAACCGTTTGAAAGTGACACTGGTCGTGGCTCGGAGCGTCGCTACTGGCGTCAGACCCGCCTTGTGTACGAGGAGTTCGAGTTCAACATGTAGGTTGGCGTCAAACACCAAGCCTGGAGCGCCCTGTGCAGCATCCATTCCACCACGAGAGAGAGGGTTGAGATGTCCGCACGAGAAGACAGCAGGTGAGAGAACCAGCGGCCACGAGGGTCGGATTGAGCCAAAGCATTGTTCTTTTTATACAACTCGATGACTTTGGGGTTGTTGGGCTCGTCCAAAAAGGTATGCGTCAAACCATCCAACCCGGCCCTCATACATTCGGTGTTGTCTTGTCGGGATAGCGCATGGGCGGCGACATTGAATGCTTTTCCGTGTGCGGCCTTGACCACTGCAGCCTGCACCGCTTCTTTCGTTTGCGCGATGCCGCTCTGTCCAATGGCTCGGCCACCCTCGTGTATGAGTTTGACATAGTCCGCGCCGTCGCTGATGGCCCTGTTGATGTAAGCTGCCGCAAGCACAAGGGTACAAGACAGTCGAAACATCACGCCGTGAGAGCTGACCGCATTGTTAGGGAAATTCTCTTCGACCCAGGCGGACCACCCGCCATCGATCGTGGCCGAAAAGTGACTGCTTTTGACATTTGGGTAATCTTTCCGCTCTTCGGCCCACTTCTTTTGTAACTGCGCGTTGGCATGGGTATTGTGCATTCCCATGAGTGTCGTGCTACCGAAGCGAAACGACTGTCCCCCCCAGGCGTGGCTCGCGATATGGGTGACAGTGCGCATCGATCAGACCCGGGAGCGGTAAATGGCCCGGCTTCCAGTACACCGGCAGCCCAGCGGCGTCCTCCAAGTCGGTGCCTATCTTGGAAATGATGCCATTTTCGAAATTCCCTTGGGGGGTTTTAAACGAGAGGCCGGGGGTCTGGGGGGAGGCGACTCCACTCTGTGCCGAATCAGGCAACACATCTTCCGAATCTTGCATATTCTCCACACTTCGGTGCCCCACCTGTTCAAGGGCGTTTGTACACCCGAAGGAGCCCATTACGGCCACCGCCAAAACCGGGAAGAGACATTACTGCCCACGGTGAACCCGTGGACGTAGTCTAGAGGATCGTCCTCAGGCTTCGGGCTGTTCACGTCTTTCCCAATGACCACCATCAGCTCTCCTTCGTAGTCGAGTTCTTTGGCAACGGCATCGACAGCAATGTCTTGGTATGACCCGGCCAAGGTGTCTGCACCAAGTGCGCGTCAATATGTCGACCCCGCGGCTCGTGCACCAGAGAGTGTGCTGTTGGGGGGACCAACGTAACAGCATACTTGGTGAAGACGACCGGGTACGATGGAATTGGCAGCTAGATCGGGATCTACCTCATCAACACCGTACAAGGTCCAAGATCTGGGTGGATGAAAACATGGTTCGCTCGCTACTCACCCCGGCTTCCTCTGCGTGCACTTTGTTGTTGACCCCAATGCCAATCATTCTCGGGATCGAGGCCAAAGAACAGAGAACCTGGACACGCAGCAATCAGGTCTGGACACTTGTGATCCACGGTTTACCAGGCCGGATCCCAGGCAGCAGGGCACGTGACAAGGCTGGCAGCCGGCGAAGGAGCGGGATGGATGGATGGATGGATCAGTATTCTAAGTCTTGAGAGCGAGACTTGGACTATACAAAGTCTGCTCTGAACTGAATATTCGGTAGAATATGTGAAATTGACCACGAAGCCAAAGCTAATATTCAGGTTCGGTCTATGGAGTATGACTGTGATACATATTGCTGTGATGTTTCTGGAATGCATCTTATCCCAGCGGGGAAACAAAAGAAAAGCAGAACCCCAATTGCAGCACGGCTTGACCAATCGTTTCTCAGGCGTTTTCAAAATGTTTGCTTGTTACCGTCGCTTCAGCCTTTTCCCCGACGGTGATCTCGATCCCGGCATGTTCCTCGTCCTGTTTTCCCTGTAGGGTAAAGTCATACAGCTCGGCACTGTCACCGAAGATGGCCGCAATGCTCTCGAGAGGCACGCCCCGAGTCTCGGGAAAGAAGACCCAGATGATGACTCCGCAGAGAAAGCCCGGGACGACGAAGCAGAGGTAGAACTTCCAACCGATGTTGGAGAATGCCAGCGGCGCCACCTGGAGCCAGACGATGTTGGTGGCACAGAGACCCGCCATGCCCAGTGCGATGCCCTTGGCCCGGAGATGGGTAGGGAAGATTTCGCCCAAGTACACGAATTGGCCTCCGTCGACCGTCATCTCGAACCAGAAGATGTAGAGGAAGAGCATGGAAACGGCGGCCCTCAGCGCGCCGGGGTTCGGATTCGCCAGGTCGCTGGCACTGGTGGCATAGCTGGCGACTAGGGCGCATTCAACCGTCAGACAGGCCACGCAACCAAGAATCCCGCCCGCGATGATGGCCGGGCGTGAGACCATTTCGATGGCGAACAGGGACGCCAAGGCACCGCCGAAAGCCACGGTCATCCAGCCGACCTGATAGACCAGTTGCTTGTCCGTGTCGTAGCCAAGGCCACGATAGAGGGTTGGACCGTAGTTGTTTATGACGAACGGGCCGGTCATTTGGATGCCCACCGTCACGAAAAGCCCCATGAACGACCTCTTCCGGTAGGTAGGTTTGGTAAACATGGCCCACCAGGAGGCTGCGAGCCCGCGATCCGCGCGGACCTGTCTCTGGATCTGCGCATACTCGACTTGGGCCTCGGTCGGGATGTGGAGTTTCTGCAAGATCCCCAGGGCTTCCTCGGATCGGTCCTGCATGATCAACCAGCGAGGCGACTCCGGGACCTTGATGATGACCAACAACAGGAGGATCGAAGGCAGACACTGGAAGGCGAGCGGCGCCCGCCATTGGTCGATGTGGTAGAACCCAAAGCCCACCCAGTTGGACAGAGCGAACCCGAAGATGATCATGGCTCCGTGGACGTTGACGAGGATGCCTCGAACATTGGGGGGTGCCACCTCGGTCATGAGCACCGGCACGGCCGACACGATCCAATACGCCGCCAGTCCAGCCATGAACCGGGAGAAGATGAACATGCCGACGTGGACACTGCCGGCCAGGAGCGCGCCTGCAACCACATTGATGATGGAGGGGATGGCGATGCCGGCTCGTCTCCCCCATCTGTCGGCAACCCACGACACGCAGAAGGTCCCAAAGAACCCTCCAGCCTGGTATAGAGAATTCATGAGGCCGATTATGTCCGTGGCGTCGGAGCGCGTATCGAGGTCAAAGTATTTCTGGAACGACGGCTGGCCCAGAGTCTGCGATATGACGCCCGCAGAGTAGCCGTAACTGATGGAGCCAAAGCCCATGGCGAGGATCATGATGATGTTGTAGAACTGAAACTGCCGACCACCGACATGGTGGGCAACTGAAGGTGCCTCTATCATGGCCGCCATCGATCGCCCTGAAGACTTTGGTGACGGGGCGGTTCAACACGTCGTGGGGAATTGACCAGGATGTTACAAGGCAAAGAGTGAACAGAGATTTGATCAAAAGTCCAAGCACTTATTTGTCGTGAGGTCAATCCCCTTTTTAAGCCTTTTGCGGGAATGCGGGAGCTTCCCTCATTGCCAGACTGGAGAAACCCTGGGGCCGTTGCGGGTTTGCCGGTTTGCCGGAGGGGAGGGCGGGGAGGATAGAAAAGCCAAAAAAGCAGAATCTTTGACAACTGGGGGGAGGATTGCGGAGGAAGGGGACAGGGATCTGGAACAATGGCCTCAGTGATTGTATTCTTTGCCTATACCCAAGGTTCTACAGACTATGACGAGCCGACCTCTACCACAATCTTCCCAATTGCCGACTGGGCATGGAGAGCCTTGAATGCTTCCTTAGCCTCCTCCCACTTGTACACCGCCGCCACGGGTGGCCGGAGCTGGTGCTCTTCGTAGAGCTCGGCCATCTTCTGCGCCATGTCGTTCCGAACCTGGAAGATGGCACGCATGGTCTTTGCCCCGAACAGCAATGGAGGGATGATGTCGGTAGGCTTACTGTCGGACAAAAACCCAATGACGGACACGAGTCCTCCATGTTTGGCCGACAGAAGGGATTGCTCAATTGTCCCGGCACCGGCCACATCTAGAACGTGGTCGACACCCTTGCCGTCGGTCACACGGAGAACCTCCTCTGACCACGCGGGGTGCTTGGTGTAGTTGATCAGATGCGTGGCGCCCAAGGCTTTGGCCGTCTTCAGCTTCTCGTCCGATGAAGACGTGGCGACCACTGTGGCTCCGGCGGCGGCGGCAACCTGGATCGCGCACGCGCTGACTCCACCCGTCCCTTGAGTCATGACCGTCATGCCCGGGCGAAAGGGCTCGGGTCCGTAGAAAAGGGCGTTGACTGCAGTGCCGGCAGCGGCAGGCAGGGCGGCCATTTCTGCAAACGTGAGATGTGCCGGAGCCCGAATCAGTCGGTTATCGTCCTTTGCGAAGAGGATCAGTCTCTACATCACGGCATCATCAAGCACAAGATTAGGGAATGCCGCGTTGAACCTACCACAACCGCGTACTCTCGCAGTGTGCCTTGAATTGCCCCTGCCCCGAGGCCCTGGGACTCGACCAATGTAGGAACATGGCCATCGATCCAGCGCATGGCAGTGAGCAGGACGCGATCTCCAGGCTTCCAGGTGCTTCCCGGCCCAACCTCCTCGACGACTCCGGCACCGTCGGCACAAGGAGTCAGATACGGTTCTGTTTTGATGGGGTAGATGGGATCGTGTGAAATCACCATCATATCTCGTGCATTGAGCGCCGCGGCCTTGATCCGCACTAGAGCTGTGCCTGGCTCCGGTCGCGGCTTGGGAAGATCATGGACCAGACGCAGATTCTCAATGCCGGCGGTGGTTCGCCAGTCTTTGGGCTCTGATGGAGCTATTTGCCAGGCCGAAGGCATGGTGGTGGCAGTCCGCAAGTTATGTGTGCTATTCCGGCGAGACTGGCCAGGTCTATGGCCCAGGTCAAGTTTATAGCCAATCTCGTCATGAAGAAGCTTAGAAATCAAGGGTGTTGTGGCAAGCTGTGAGAAATTGTCAGGAATTGTCAGAAATCCGTGGCACTGAGTTTGAATCTTCCATCAGTCTTGCAGCGTCTCGTCCCCGCCCAATGGAGGAACAAATGTGGGTATCCCCGGCATTTCCGGCAACTCCGGCAATAAACGGTAATGGCTGGGTTTAAAGCCATCCGTCTTTCTTTTCTCTCTGTTCAGCTTTGGCTATTCGGGTCACCATCCTACGCCATGCGGCAATGCATCGAGTGCCACGCGAAACTGGAGTTGATGCATGATCATGTCACTTCACAGCCATCCTGCGGGGATCGAGAACAGGAGGCGCAATAAGCGTGCCACGGTGGTGTGCACTCGCTGTCACGATAAGAAAGTGCGTCCACTCCCGCGTACTGTTGGTTGTGTCCGTGGTTAAATTTTTAAAATCCAGATCAGATGTGACCTGCAGGTAGTTCCCGGACAACTCCAAGAACGATGTTCAGGTTGTGTTGAAGCGTTTGCCGAATGCCGGTGAGAAGCTGCCTGCGATGCCACCTGCTTGCGACTGGCTAAGACTGACTTGACCCAACCCACAGCTATCGGCCCTCACAGCGAGGCACTGTCCGAAGACGCGATCGCAAAGCAGCCCCAACACACGTAACAGACTCAGTCGACCCAGCCTTGCCCCCGGGAGATAGGCCTAACGTGCTGCCTCCAAGCACCTCTGGTCCTTCCCCAGCCTTGGACAGCAGGAATGGAGGGCGAGTCAATCATGCACAGGCTGACATTGACGCATGGTCGAGCGCCATCCATGACCAGCCAAGCCAGACGAGCCTCTCACGTGAACCGGTTGCAGAGCCCATTGTGGATGGTCGCAATCCCAGCCAGGCAATCGTGACGCCGGGACAGTTGAGTCTATCGTCGCAAGGAAACAGCCACCGTGCGGCGTACCTTGGGGAAAGCGGATATATGTCCATCTTCAGGCACGAATTGGCCGAAGACGACGCGGAAGATTCTCAGGAGAATGCGACGGATCTACAGTCGACTCACTTGATGCCCGTGTTACAAGAGAGCTATCTTGACACGTATTTCGAGTACTGCCACACCTGGTGTCCGATTTTGGACCGGGAAACCATGCAAACCTGCCTGGAGTTTTCAGAGTCGCAATTGTTGCGCGAGGCATTGGCTGTTCTCGGCAGTCAGCTCAGTCCTCCCTTAATCCGGCACCCCAAACCTATCCAACACTTCCAGCGGTTTCGGAAGCTGTTTTATGACAACAACGAGAGCCAACCCTTGGTCAGGATATGCGCTGTGATGTTGTTGTATTGGTGGAGTTCAGGACCCCCAAACGTCGTGAGTATCGACACCAATTGGTGGTGGATGGGGGCGTCTATCAGGCTGGCCCAAGAAATCGGGCTCCATCGAGAACAGAACACAGAACATGTCTTGAGGCCCGGAGAAACCAACGGGCTAAGAAGACGAATATGGTGGACATTGTTTGTAAGCCATCGTTCTACCTGTTGCCACGCTGCTAACCCTCTCCCCCCCTTCTCCCAGGCCCGAGACCGTCTCACCGCGCTTATGCAGGCCCGGCCTTGCGCAATAGATCCTGACTATTCCGATCTGAGGATGGCTTCCGTAGAGGATTTCCCCGACCCCAACGACCCCAAAGCCGAGATCTGGGTTCATTGGGTCAGGCTCTGCGAGATTATCGGTCGAGTGGGCAAAGCCATTGCGCAGGGGAAGATTCATGAACCTGGGTCCACGCCAGCAAATGATCTAATGAATTGGCCACGGGATCTACCAGATCATCTTCAGCTGCCGATTTCTGACGACAGGACGGTCAACTTCAATAGAGATGTGCACATGCTGCATCTCCCCTATCTGGCCACAACCATTCTGCTACACCTACAAAAGACTACTGACAAACTACCGCGGGCGTCGATGACGGCCATCATCGCCGCCTCGTGCGTGTCCAGAACTCTCCAGGACATTCTTGCCCGTGGAACGCTGCGCTATCTCCCCGGCCAGACTGGCTGGTACATATCGATCTCAATAATAGCGCTGCTGTATGCTCGAAGTATCGAGGCACTGACGACCCATGCGGACGCCGAAATCTCCATTCTGCTCGCGGCTCTCAAACAGATGGCTCTGCTGTGGCATTCGTCCAAGATGTTCTTCACCGGCTTTCAAAGAATTCTGGAAACGGACCGGACTCATATCCAGCCTTCTTTTGGACTCGGCAACGCCGCCGGACATGCAGAGGTTGTGGACCAGACACAGGCGTCGCCCACGCTCAACGACATCACTGCAACCGCCGACTCGAGCTGGCGGCAACGGTTTCCCTACGTGACGATGAACACCAGTCCCTTGATATCTGCCTTGTTGGAGGACACGGTCAACATCCCGTTCATGGGGATGGAGTCGTCGCAAGTCAACTACCTGTTTGACTTTTTGGACGATCTCGACCCTGACATCCTCCAAATGGACCTGAGTCTTTGAGTATTGCAGGGGCTAGGTATTTTCCCGACACCCTTGATCATCGTGGTGTTTAAAAGCAAACCAGACACAAGAGCGGATTTCCCGAACGGAACAGATCAACCAGCTCATGTCTTTGAGGATTCTGTAAAACCAGGCATAGCTAATAAAAAAAGGGGGCGTGATACAAATTCAAATGGTTTTTATTCGAACCTTTTAGTGCTGGATGTAACAACAAGTGGCGTTTGAAGAGGATCATGGTGATAAAAGAGTCTGATGATCACGAATAGCAAGAGAAAAATAAATAAAGAGAAACGTGTCACCTAGACAAGCGGTTCGGGCAGTAGACTGGCAACCCCCCCACCAAGAGGCCGCGGAACTGACAGTCGCTATGCCTTTCCCTCCCCTTCGGCTATTGAGCTGGATATCCAGGATGGATGGACCCGGCAATGCCGTGCGTTGCCAGCTGCACAGCCTTGCCCTTTGCCCCCTTCGTGAGATGTATAGGAAGAGTCGTCTCATGGCTCTATTGGTACTTTGACCACGTCTCTTTTTCTGGAGTTTGGCTTCTCTTCTCTAACCCAAAACATCCATTCTTGAACCTCCCTCCAGTCGACACAGCCATGGCTCCTCTCGAGTTCAGCATCGACCGGCTCCCGACAGACCTGTTCATCGACAATGAATTTGTCCCTGCCCGGTCTGGCAAGACGCTATCTGTTTTCAACCCGAAGGACGGATCTCTCGTGTCGGACAAAGTGTCCGTGGCTGGGCCGGAGGACGTCGACATGGCGGTGCAAGCGGCGGAAAAGGCACTCCCCGCGTGGAAGCGATTGAAGGCGGTCCAGAGACGAGACCTGATGCTCAAATTGGCGGATCTGATTGAAGAAAACATCGAGGTTCTGGGTGAATTGACGCGAATCACTCTGGGAGCGCCGTTTGAGACCTGGGGGAAGCACGAGATTCTGATCGCCGTCGAGGTATTGTTCGCTCGCTTTTCCTTGGTCCCCCCGAATGTTCGGGATCGTGCTCACAAAAGGCCCAGACATTCCGGTACTACGCAGGATGGGTCGACAAGCTTGCCGGAGAGACATACCCGCAAGAAGACGGCTTTCTCAAGATCGTCCGAAATGAGCCCCTAGGCGTCGTGGCCGGCATCGTCCCCTGGAACGGGCCCATTGGGTCCATCGGCATGAAGGCAGCGCCCGCTCTCGCGGTCGGCAACTGTTTCATCCTGAAACCCTCGGAAAAGACCCCGCTGGGATCGCTCGCCATCGGTACCCTCATCCAGCAGGCTGGGTTTCCTCCCGGGGTCTTCCAGATCCTGTCTGGGGACGGCTCGACGGGCGCGCTGCTCGCCAGCCACATGCGCGTGCGCAAGGTCAGCTTCACGGGCTCGGTGTCTACGGGGAAGAAAATCCAGGAGCTGGCCGCCAAGAGTAACTTGAAAAGAGTCACCTTGGAGCTCGGCGGGAAGTCACCCGTGGTCATCTTCAATGACTGCGACGTGAAGAACGCCTTGGAATGGGCGGTCAGATCCATCACGGCCAACACCGGCCAGGTCTGTTTCGCGGGATCGAGAGTCTACGTCCAGGAAGGCCTCTACGACAGCTTCCTCAAGCAGTACAAGGAGGCGATCGAGGCGCGCGCCAAAGTCATGGGCGATCCGGATGATCCCAAGACCGAGCTCGGCCCGCTCATTGACGAAGCACAGTTCCAGCGCGTCTCTGGCTTCATAGAGCGGGGGCAAAAGGACCAAGGACAGATCCTGACCGGCGGCAAGAGAATCGGAGACAAGGTAAGCAGTTCTGCGGAGGCTAACCACGAGGACCTTGTCCTGACTGACGCGGGACTCATGGACAGGGATACTTCCTCGAACCCACCGTCTTCACCAACGTCAGGTCGGATGCCGAGATCTACAGGGAGGAGATTTTTGGCCCCGTCGCCGTGATCAACAGCTTCAAGACGGAAGAGGAGATCATCGAGTTGTCCAACGACACCGAGTTCGGGCTGATGGCGGGCGTCTTCACACAGGATATCAACAAGGCATTGAGAGTGGCTTCCGAGTTCGATGCTGGCACCGTCGGGATCAATTGCGTGAGCCTGTTCGCCATGACGGCCCCGTTTGGAGGCTCCAAGCAGAGCGGAATTGGCAGGGAACTGGGACTGGCTGGGTTAAGGGCGTTTACGGAGCCCAAGACCATCCTCGTCAACATGAATTACTGATAGAATAGCAGAAGAGGAAAAAAAAACTGTTGAGATGTAAGAAGCGGGTGTCCTGGGTCACCAAACCCCTCCTCGCTCGCCCTCTCTTCCTCTGTCTCTTTCTCTCTCTCTCACTCTCTCTCACACACACATCCACACATCCACACATCCGACTCAGCCTATTTTCTCCAGAGCTTGATAGACGCTGTTTTCCATCTTCTCCATGTCAAAGTCCTGAGACGAAATACCTCGTGGTCCGGGGTCGAAGAAGGCTGCCACATCTCGAACTTGATTTCCTGACACTTCGAGAATAGATCCCCCGGCCACGTGCACCAGGCCTTCTTTCTGGGTAGATTCATCCGTTCCGGCATCGCCACGGAGCAAAGTGCTCACTTGATCCTTTTCGACCATGTCGAGCATCACTTGAGCCACCTCTTCGGGGGTGACCCAGGCGGGATTCTGGGAAAGAGGGCCGCTCTTGTCTGGGGAGGTCGACCAAATTGGTGTGTTGACCAGGCCCGGGGCCACCGCGGCGATTCTGATGCCCAAGCGTCCCTCCAGAGGGCCCATGGTGCGGACAAAGCCATTGAGGGCGTGTTTCGCGGTGTTGTACAGGGGCGACCACAAGGGAGCCACTTGGCCGTTCACACTCGAGACGTGAATCACTGTTCTCCGGGGCGGCACACCGGAGTCTCCTCCTCCCTTGGCGGCCTTGAGCTCTCGCACTTGGTCCATGATGGCCAGCTGCGTCAACCGGATCGGGTGGGTCAAGTTGATGTCGAGCGATTTGTAGCCGTTTGTAGCCACACTGTCGACGACTCCAGGGTCCGTCCCTGGCGGTCTCCAGAAACTGCTCCAGGTGGGCTCAAAGACGCCGGCACCAGGACAAACAATGTCGACACGCCCGAAGCGGCTCTTGGCCAGTTCGTATGTGTCGGATAGATCTTTCCACGAGGACACGTCGGTCTTTTGGAAGACGGCTTGCGCGGTCGCGGGGGGCCGTTGGTGGGCGTTGACGAGCTCGAGGGCTTCCGGCCGGAGAGTCAAGTCTACAAACACGACGTTGCAGCCGCGTGAGAGCAGGAGACGTGCAAATGCAAGATTGATCCCTATTGTATCATCTCAGTTCCCTTGCAAAAGACCAAGAAGCAAATGGGTGACTCCAAACTAACCAGATCCGGCTCCGGTGACCAGAGCAGTCTTCCCTGCCACGGAGCTTGTCATTCTGTCTTTGCAGTTTCCGTACGCCGTCGATATTACTTTCGTTGTTGTACTCCCCAAGACAGGTGTCGAACTTCAAAGGCCTTGTTACCCCAGAAATGCCAGTGGTGGGAACTGGAGTATTCTGAAATAGGAGCAAGGATCGGCGGCTCTGGCGGCAACTGAACAATTGCCGGATGCCGACAACAGTTTTGTGCGTGACGCGCAGCTTCGAAATATAATTCTTTTTGTTCACAGTGGATTGCGGTGTGAGAACTGGACTGGGGGTGTGGTGTTTTTTTGCTCTCGCACCCTTCTTGATCCTTCTGAGGAATTCATAGGAGCATTGTATGACCCGTTCTAGCCTAATCAGCATTCGTCTGCACCATGATTGGCCGACTCTCCGCACGGACCTGTCTCATCACAGGCTCCTCGTCAGGGCTGGGGCGCGCAATCGCACAGAGATTCGCAGGTGAAGGCGCAAATATCGTCTGTGCAGATCTATCTCCCAAAGCAGGAGCACTTTTACCCGGAGAGGATGCTCGTCCCACGCACGAAGTCATCGCGGCGCAAGGTGGAAAGGCGACCTTTGTCAAATGTGACGTCTCGGAACCCGAGCACTTCAAGGCAGCGGTGGCGACAGCGGTCAAGGAATTCGGCCGACTTGATGTGTGAGAGAAGCTTCTTTGCAAAATACCAGGCCATGAATAATCCACTGACATGATTGTGCATCAGCTTGGTCAACAACGCCGGAATATCCTACGAGGCGCGTCGAGGGTTCCGCCAAATGCACGAAACCGACCTGAACGAGTTCGACGATACCCTTCGCGTCAACGTAAGAGGTGTTTTTCTGGGATGCAAATACGCCGTGGAGCAGATGTTGACGCAGACGCCGAAATTCGGGTCCGACCGTGGATGGAGTGAGGCTTCCCTACCAAGCTGTCTGCCGTGCAAATGAATCAAGTCACTGACAACCCATGTCGCAGTCATCAATATCGCCAGTGTTTTGAGCTTTGGCGGAATGCCTGGGTCCATCAGCTACGTCGCCAGCAAAGGCGCAGTCATGCAAATGACAAAAACCGTAGGCAGATTGTCCACAGAGTTGAGTTGCTGCTCGTACAGACTTCTAACCTACATGTGCCAGATTGCTCTGGAATATGCCTCCAAGGGTATTGTAAGTCAGATTCCTTGTATGTGTTGTCTCTAGAAATGGATGGAATGCTAATAGGAAAAACACCAGCATTGCAACGCCATCTGTCCGGGATTCACCATGACAACCCTTCTGGGCCCGCTCTTGGAGGAAGATGGGAAAAGTCAGCTGGAAGAGATCTCTGCTAAGCACCCCTTGGGCGGGATTGGGAAGCCTGAAGACATTGCAAAGGCAGCCGTGTTTCTTGCCAGTGACGATGCTGCATGGGTGACGGGGATCCCGCTCCCCGTTGATGGAGGATATCTCGCCAGATGAAATCGCGGAGAGGCGGCAGCTGGCCCTCAGATAGCGCCCCTGTATCACATGGAACAGTCGCTCTAGTGGTCAGACCCATACAAGCAAAATCCAGAGCCTGCACCGTTGCTTAACGGGCCGCTGTAAAAGTGTAAGAGGCATTAATTGCCGTCGGCTA